TATATTTTATTATTAAATTAATAATAAATAAATATATAAATATATATAAAAATATATATATAAATAAATAAATAAATAAATTAAATTATATAATTATTTATTATTATATATATATAACTAATTTATTTATTTATTATATTTTATTTTAACCTATATATACTAATATACTCAGATATATACCTATACTTCAATGATATCATAATATATATTAGGTATATTATTATGGTACTTCTAATGAACGCTTCATTCTTATTTTCTATTTTGTTGTTGTTGTTGTTATTTACAATTAATTTCTCTTTAACATTCTTCTTATTTTACTTTATTTATTTCTTTTTTTTTTTTTTTTTATTCATTATCTCGTCGATTGATTATATCATCGATTACGATGACTTTAACTGGAAAATCCCCCGGCTTAATTGAATTTAGTTCGAGTCGTGTAACAAGCCAATAGAGTTTCGTTTTCGTAACGAGAAAATAAGAAGAAGAAGAAGAAGAAGAAGAAGAAGTAAAAGAAGAAAATAAAAAAATAAAATACAACATGTATTAAACGTACACACAAATGCACGCACACATGTAATAGACATAAAATACAACACAACACAACACAACATTAACACTAACACTATACGTATTACCGTCCTGTTGTCTATTTTCGCTACACGAGATTGCTACACGACAAAAGCAAGGAAAAAAAATGCAATAAAAAAAATAAAAAAAAAAAAAATAGAAAAAAAAACGCACTTATCTGTGAAATATCTAAAAGGCGAACAAAAAAAAAACCAGGTTTTAGCATAGTTTAAAAAAACACTTATTAAACGTGCTAATGCAAAATATGACGGTGAAAAGAAAAAAAGATCAAAACACGCAACAATATTATATCGAATGCATAAAAATGCATTTGTCAATTGAAAACAAAACACGTATATTTATTTAAACAAAATATATAACAAAAAGTTTGACCAACATTCATCGAACAAAAAAGTACAATTTTCAATTTTCTTCTTACTGTTCAATTATTAATAAATAAAATAATTAATAAAATAATGATCGAAATGCATTGGTATTCGTGGATACCATTTTTTTTTAGTTGCACTGTGATGTGAACGTTATGATTGCTTTTCGATCACGTTTAATTCTTAACGCGTTTTACGATGAACAACGGGATACGATAAAAGAATTAAAAAAAAAAAAACGAGTAATATACACACATACTATATACATATATATAAAAATATGATGTATAACTAACACATAGATATTTTATCTTTCAGCAGTTCGTTCGTTGGAATGAACACACACCCACGTGCAAGCAATTCAGTCAATGACGAGTAAAACGAGCAAGAAAGAAAGGAAGGAAGGAAGGAAGGAAGGAAGATGGTATTGACCCAGATTTGATGCACCATTGCAATACACGTTCTTGTTATTTCTTAATTATCATCTAACACCACTCTCTCTTTCTTTTTCTCATATCGAGTAAAACGACAAATTTACAAAAAAAAAAGAAATAACGTGTTCAAATCAAAATACATTTTCATAACACACTATACCTGTCTGTCTATTAGTTTCAAAAAAAAAACTAAACAAACATTACAAAGCAAAAAGAAGTGAATTATAAAATAAAATAAAAAATAAAAAAAGGAAACAACAAAGTAATAAATATATTGCAAAATATTTCAATAATAATAATGACTATTGCATTATGAAACATAATTAAAAACTACGCATGACGTTATACTATACTTGCGTTAAAAAAAAACGAAACAAGATGGGAAAAACTGGAACGAACGGATATTTATTCTCAACTTTTCTCACGTGACTTGACTCATCGTCATCGTCATCATCATCATTAATTATTTCCACTTCATCCTCTTCTTCATCGTCATTCCTCTTCTTCTTCTTTTCATACAAGTGGTGTGTGTCCGGCCGATGGATGGACGTTCACATGATTCGTTACAAAAATATACACATTGCTTGCACTTCTTTTCAAGATTCATGTCGGCGAAGAATTTCACCTTGACGAGAGATGAAATTATTCCGAGATACATTTGACGTAACTGTTAGTACGTACGTAAATATTAAAAGGGTAAAGTGCCCGATGATGATGCATTTGCATTTTCCTATTTCTATTTCTCTATCTTTAACTCTTTTTATCTACCTCTTCATCTTCACATCTTCATCTTACTCTGCGTTTCTTATTCGTTATAAAGTATTCTTAAGATATTTTCTTCATATGTATTATATTTTTAACTTATGTTTCGTAATTTCTTAACTCGCTACAACACCACATTAGTTTTTCCATTTTTAAATTAGCCGCGAGTTTAAATCGACCAATCAGAACGAATGTATGTTATTCTATACTATCGAATGTTAAAACGCGCCATTTTTGAATTTTCATGATTATCCGAAAGTATATACATATATATTATATAATAAGAAAGATTTTTAAAATAAAATGAATTCATATCAAATACTTCGTTGAAATTATTTCTACAATGTAAAACCAATTCCTATATAAAAAAATCCCGACATCCCTACAAAACAATAATTGCAGAATTGTGCAATCTAAGTTGTGCACAAAATCTATAAAAAAAAAGGATTAGGAATATAAATGATAATAATTTGTTATTAAAAATTAAAAAAATATAAAATATTATATACTGTGTTGATTATTCGCATAGTAATATTTTCTAGTAACCTACCTAGTAAATCGTGGTGTTGTAAATGAAAAAAAAATAACATTAAATTACAGTTTTCTACATTACCATTAAATGCACTCAGTTTCATATTTTATTATGCAGATGTCGTTGCAATTACTTTTTTTTTTTGACATAAATAGATGTATCAATGTAACTAGTATCAATCTGCCAAGAAATGACAGTAGATTGTAAAACGTGTGCAAATTGTCTAAAAAATCATTTTTCTAATATTATGAATAAATAAAGTTAATAATAAAACAAAATATGGATTTGGATACTGAGAAAGTTATAAATCTTGTATTCCCACAAGGAATATCAGGTAAATCATTGAAAACTATTATTTCTTATTAAATCTTAATATTTCTTTCTTTTTTTTCTAACAGACTTATTAGATTTAATATATCAATTGTATATATATATATTCCTTGATCATGTATATATATTTTTAAATAATTACAGAAGTATGGAAAAATAGTTCAAAATTTGCCCAATACCTGTCAAAACTTGGTGGATTTGATGTTGATCAATTAAGTAAGTTTCATATTGTAACATTTATTATGATTTTAAATATTATATTAATATTAACTATGCGTTTTAAATTATAGCCAAAGAACCAGACCATTTGTCAGATGAAAGAAAATCAGTGTTAGAAACTACTCAAGAATTGGTATTTGGAAATTATAAAACTTTTATATCAACTGCTGAGAGTTCTAGAGAAATATTTAAACAAGTAATAACATGATATATATTATTATATATATATATATATATATATATATATATATCATCTTGTTATTTTAATATAATTAAAATTGATTAATCATGTTTCAAGTTTAATGAGACCGAAATACGGCTCGATAGGCTGGTGCAAAAAATTCCAGAATTTGTGGAAAAGTGCCAAACATTTTGTGATACTTCGAAGGATATCAGTACACGTAGAAGAATAAATAGTTTAACATTAACAAGAAATGCGGAGTTACTTGAGGTATTAGAGATGCCACAATTGATGGAGTCATGTTTAAGAAGTAATCAGTATAATGAAGCATTAGAACTTTCTCAATATGCACGTCAATTAGGTGCAAAACATGGTGATATTCCAATCATAGCAGTATGTAATATGCATCACTCATTTGTTCAATAAATTCATTCTAAAATGAATAAACTAATCGATACATTTTGTTATTGAACAATCATGTAGTCAATAGTAGCAGAAATTGAAAGTAGTTGGTCTGGAATGGTTGGACAAGTTGTTGGTTCACTTAGAGGAGATTTACCACTTCCAAGATGTTTACAATTAGTAGGACTTTTACGTTCCATGGATGCCTTTACGGAACCTGAGCTTCGTATCAAATTTCTTCAAGCACGTGATAGTTGGTTACAAAGTCTTTTAAATGATATTCCAAAAGAAGATCGTAAGTTTTCTATTTTATATGTATATATATATATACAAATAATTAATAATTGACAACAACATGGTATTATTCTTTATAGCCAATCTTCATATAACAAAGACTATAGAATTATCTAGGATACATTTGTTTAATATTATAACACAATACAGAGCTATGTTCAACGATGATGAATTAATAATACCTGGTAGAGATCCAAACATAAATGAATCGGCTATATTTTATCATTGGTTAGACGAAAAGGTATATTTTATTTATACCTTATTAATTTAATAATTGTTAAACTTATTCACTTTTTTATATTAATAGATAACGCAGTTCCTTACAACATTAGAACAAGATTTACCAGGTGTAACATCTATAGATTCTATTTTGGGCCAGTGTACATATTTTGGTTTATCTTTTGGAAGAGTTGGTGCTGATTTTACTGGACGAATGTCTGATATATTTGTAAGAATAATAGGCGACAGATTAGAATTAGCTATCAGAAGAACAACGAGAAAATTTGAAAAAGATATGGAAACATTTACATTAATTAATAAACCACAAAGAACTGATATTAAATCTGATACTGCTGTTAAATCTGTATGTATAATTAATTGTTATTCATTAAATCATTATATTTAATACAAACATTCTAAAACTATTATTATATTATTTTTTTGATTACAGGAAATTCCTCCGGAACAACTTGTAGAATTTTATCCATTAGCTGAATATTGCAATGGATTAATTTCTGCATTTAACGAATTGAGACCTTGTGCACCAGTTGCAGTATCCACCATGTGTACTAAACTTTTACAAGAATCATTACATTCTGTAGCTAAAGCTATGTTAATTTTTTATAAACAAGAACAACAGGTAGTTTAATTCAAATACATTTTGTCATAGTGACGTTTTTTTCTTTCTCTATTTTCTTAAGATATCATATTTTTGTTTGTTTGTTTATTTATACAGGCATTTGCTGCTGTAGAACGTGATAATATGATTAGATTTGCTGAATGTTTAAGTGAATATCTAATTCCTTATGTACAGTATTGTATACATGCTATCTTTCCACCAAATCAAATTTCAATGCATCTGGGAATTTCGGAAATCGTATTACAGCAAGAGGTATGTATGCACTATCAAAATTATTTCGTTGTTTTTTTTTTCTCAATAAATTTATATCGAGTTATAATATTAATATTTAATTACAGGGTATTACATATTTGGATTATAAAAGTATATTAGAACCTATACTATTTTTATTACCACCTACTGCAAGTTTAAAAGCTACTATTGTATCTAAACTACCTTTATCTACCGCACAAGATATTCTAGATTCTACACAAATATCTACAAATTCGGATAATTCTGCGAAAGAAGAAGAAGCTATCATCACTATGTCAATGCAAAAAGTCGAAATTATTGATAATAAAGAAATAATAGAAAATAATACGAAAGATGAAAGATCACAGATACTAAATGAAGTATCTACTGAAGAAGATATTGAAAAGAATTCAATGCAATTATTATTATCAGAAAACATTCCGGCATCTATAAATTCTGATTTAAAACAGGATAAATTATTGTAAATGAAAGAAACAAAAACAAACAAACAAAAAAAACAAGAATTGAATTTGAATTATGTGCTATTTTGTGCTTAAATAATATTAATATGACAAATAAATCATATTTTTATTTATATACTTTCTTTCCATACGTCATATTTCATTAAATATGATTGGAAGTGTAATATAATAATTTTGATAAATTCATTCAAAACAAGCAAATATTAATTAATTCATTTCTTTATAATAAATATATTATTAGGAACATAATTTCATTCACGAATTAATCAATAAATTTCAATATTTTTGATATATCTAATTTGTGTATATAGATATATATATATATATAAATAATATAAGTATAATAACAATCTATAGAAAACATTCATATAAATAAATAAATATATATATAACAAATAATATATAAAAGAAATGAAATTTCTGATATTAAAGTGTATGAAAAGTTTACACGTATTTTATTTGAAAAAAAAAAAAAAAAATAAATAAATTTTAACTATGATGATTGGTCAGATAATAAATAATAATTATTATCACTTTCCTTTTTGTATTTTTTAGATTTTAAATAAGTAATCGATTTAACTTTAACATTACTATTATTACTATTATTATCCATTAATGATGAAGATGATGACGACGAAGAGAACGAATAACATTCACGATTTTCATTACTTCTACGCGAATATAATTTTTGCATTTTTTGTTTTGCACAAAATTCATTAAATGATTTCTTTTGATAATCATCATTACTATCATTAGATGTGTAATCAAATGTTTCTCTCTTTCTTATCCATTCTCCTTTTTCAGATTTCGAATCGTTCGTTTCATTGGTTACGTATTCAATCCTATCAATATTTATTGGTAAAGATTGATTATTTTTATTTAAAGTTCCTCTAATTCTACACAATGGTTTAGATTTTGTTAATTTCAATTCATGTTCATCGAGTAAATTTAACATTTCTAAAGAATCTGTGATAAAGAAATGTGATTGTATTGAAATTAGAAAAAAAAAAACAAAATAATAATAATTTTACAATGAAAACTCACCATTATCACTTGTCTCATCTTTATCAGATTTTTCATTAATTTCAGTATTATTAATTGTACGACTTGTACTAGCTTGATAATGTTGTGGTAATTCATCGGAATGATCGTTCACATAATTATCCCATAATAAATCGGCATAATGTGTTGATACTTTATAATCTGATGGCCAATCATCGTATATCGTATTTTTTAACAAATTTCTTTTCCATCTTGTTTGTTTGGCTGGTGGATATTTTTTAGTACGATTTGATTTTTCTAATAATAATAATAATAATAATAATAATAATAATAATAATAATAATAAAATTATTAAAAAAAAAACAGACCCCTATTTCTGTATAATTGTAAATAATTTACGTACTTAAAATAGGAGTAATTGCTATTTCATTAAGATCTTCATCCGAAGAGATATTATTTTCTTCATTATTTTCTTTCACTTCAATATTTTCATCATTTTCAATACTACGTAACGAAAAAATTGGATTTGATCTTTCAGAAATTAAAGATGGTGAAAGTATAAGATTATCGTGATCGTGATTATAATTAATATCACGTATACGTTCAGGACTTATAAATAATTGACGCTTAGATTCACATTGATCATTTACATTTGTAATTTCTTTTTTTGATAATAATATATTTGATGATATATCGATCTTTTTCTTTTTTCTTTTAAACAATTCTATTTCCGATTCGGTATCGGAAGTATCCGATAAGATGAATCTTCTTCCTTTTTTATTAATACATTTGAGTTTTTTATTAGTAAATTTGATTTTGGAAAATTTCTTTTTACGTTTGATCTTCTTCTTCTTCTTATTATTATTATTATTATCAAATGTATGTACTTTATTATTAATTTTATTATTTTGCTGTGCACTGTCCGACGATGTAAATTTTATATCCGAAACTGAACAAGAAGCATTTGAAATACCATTTTTAATGGGAGTGCTAACAACTATATTTGACGTTTGATACATTTTCAAATGTAAAATGAAATTCTTTCAGTGTTACACTGTTACCTTAACAATGATTCAATACGATTTGACTTCATGTCTATGAAATATCTATTATATTATATTACAAACATAAGCGAGTTATTATTTCTTTTGTAATAGAAGTTTTGACCTTTCTCAAATATAAATATATCAAATCAAATTTATTTATTTATTTATTTATTATTATGTGTAATTAAATATATATATTACATATATAATTATAATATATTATTGTACATTTATATTATATATTAAATATTTATTTATTATTTATATTATATATATATTTATATATTTATAAATCTTACTCGGTCGGTAATATAAAACAAATTTTATTTTCTATCAGGTGTTGTAGTAAATAATGACGCTTATATATATAATATTTATTATATCTAACTAAGTTACTATTAAATATTTATTTATTATATATAATATATAATATATATATTTATATATTTATAATTCTTACTCGGTCGGTAATATAAAACAAATTTTATTTTCTATCAGATGTTGTAGTAAGTAATGACACACGCTAGTATATATAATATTTATTATATCTAACTAACTAAGTTACTATTAAATATTTATTTATTATCTATAATATATTATATATATATATATATATTTATATTTATAATTCCTGCTCAGTCGATAATATAAAAAAACAAATTTAGTTTTCTACCAGGTGTCGTAGTAAACCGTAGTGGCGCTAGTATCGTCAACTTGTAGTACAATTACCACATGTTTCATTCATTAAGTTCACGTGTATTAATGGTTAAGTTTTCTCAATTAAAAAAATAAATATAAAAATAAATATGAAATTAAAAACGAAATCAAGAAAGAAGAATGAATTGTGTGATAATAACGATGATAATAGTAATGAAGAAAATATCATTGACGTTTCTGCATGGAGTGCACTTGGTACACCAAAGGAAATAATAAAAGCATTATCAGATGAAAAATTTTATACACCTACAACAATACAATCATTAACATTGCCACCAGCAATATTTGGACAAAGGGATATTCTTGGTGCTGCTGAAACTGGCAGTGGTAAAACCTTAGCATTTGGTATTCCTATTTTAAATGGTATCTTAGAATTAAAGAAGAAACATTTAAAAAAGAAACAAGATGATCAATTGGATAATGAAAGTGATGAGGAAGAATTGGAACATTCCAATGATGAAGGTAACTTACATATATATTTAAAGAGCAATGAGTTAATGTAAACATAATATCTAATTATTTGAATGTGTTAAAGATTCTGATGGGAATGAGAGTTCTGAAGAAAGTGAGGAAGAAATAGAAGAAAATTTTGATAATGTTGAAGGCATTGGATGTGTACGTGTGATACACAATGTCAAAATGATGGATGAAGAAAAAACAAGTACTTCACATAAACCACTTTATGCATTGATATTAACACCAACGAGAGAATTAGCTATTCAAGTAAAAGATCATCTTGTTAAAGCAGCTAAATATACTGATATTAAAGTAAGAAATATTAGATATATATATATATATAAAATAAATCAATACTTCAAATGGTTTCTATAAATTAACTAATTACGATCAACATATTAAATCTAATTTTAATTATCATTCGCAACAGAATCAATAATAAATGTTATCATTAATGCAGATTGCAGTTGTAGTTGGTGGCATGGCTGCTGTTAAACAAGAAAGACTTTTAAGTAAAGGTCCTGAAATAGTAATTGCAACTCCTGGAAGATTATGGGAATTGATTCAGCTTGGTAATGAACACCTAAATCAATTGAGTTCTATTAAGTATGTTTCTAAATATAATCCAATTAATTTCAACATATATAATATTACTGTTTGTTTTCTTTTAATTTTTATGTAATATATCATTTCGACAAGTAATTGATACTAATGTTTATTTTTATTATCAGATATTTGGCTATCGATGAAACTGACAGAATGTTAGAAAAAGGACATTTTCAAGAATTGCAAGAAATAATAGAAAGAATTAATAGAAATGAAAAGAAAGCGCATAAAAGAAAAACTTATGTGTTTTCTGCTACGTTAACAATGGTTCATGATATTCCTGATTATTTACTAAGGAAAAAGAAAAGAAGTGAAAAAAGTAAAATATTCAAATTAACGCCTGGTCAAAAATTACAAAAGATTATTGACATGTTGAATATAAAAAATCCCAAAATTGTCGACATTACCAGATCAACTGGTAAACAAGCAAATTATTGTTCATTCACCAATTATGTTACTTATTAAAAAGTAAATTATATAATATTATATTTATTCTTATGATTATTCAGGTACTGCTACGAATTTGACGGAATCGAGAATTGCATGTACATTTGATCATAAAGATTATTATCTTTATTATTTTTTAAAAAGACACAGTGGACGAACTTTAGTATTTTGTAACAGTATCGGTTGTGTCAAACGTTTGGCAACACTTTTTAATATATTAGAATGTAATCCTTTACCTTTACATGCTAACATGCAACAAAGGCAACGTTTAAAAAATCTTGAAAGGTAAGAATTAACATACGATGATATGATTAAATATCACTCATTTTCATATAAATCAAATAATATTTTAGATTCCAGGATGATGAGAATGGATTATTAATAGCAACAGATGTAGCTGCTAGAGGATTAGATATTCCTAGTATTGAACATGTAATACATTACCAAGTTCCAAGGACATCTGAGGTATATATATATATATATATATATATATATTAATTAATTAATTAATACTTCAACTCTTTCATACGTTCAATTAATTTTAACTCTACGAAAGATAAAGTAGAGATTATTTGATATAATTATGTAACATTTTCTTATTATTATTAACGTTTATAAAAAAAAAAAAAAATGATGATGATGATTGGCTTATTTAGGTGATATTTATAATAAACTTAATTAATTTCTCTAATAATTATTGATGTAAAAATAAAGTAATGTTTTATTTTCTATTTTTTTTTCTTTTCATTTTGGTTAGTGAATGGCACAATTTTTTATTTTATATATGTATATTGTGAAATTGTGTATTAAATAAATTTTCAGAGTTACGTTCATAGAAGTGGTAGAACTTCACGAGCTGGTAAAGAAGGAATAACAGTTCTCATGATGGAACCATCAGAGAAACAAAATTATAGCAAATTGTGCCAAACTTTGGGTCGAAGTAAGAATTATAATGAATGTTATTATATATATATATATCATTAATTAAATCATTATTTTGATTTTGTAATTATTCTCTCTTCTTTTTTTGTAGCTGAAGATATACCTACATTTCCAGTGATAGATAGACTGTTAATGGCTGTAAAAGAAAGGGTTGATATTGCTAGAGAAATTGATAGTTTAGAATTGAAATGTAAACGAAATAATGTGCACAAAGGGTGGTTACAAAAAGCTGTAGAAGATATGGATATTATCTTAGATGAAGATCAGCTGTAATAATTATTACTTTTTCTTCTTCTTCTTTTTTTTCTTGTTGTTGTATTTTTCAATGTTGTTTTTCTTAATTGTGTATTTTTCTAATTATTTTTGTTTTGTTTTGTTTTGTTTTAGTGAAACAACGATGGAATCAAAAGAAATGGCTGATCTGCGACGTTCGTTAAAAGCAAAAAGAAATAAATTAACGTCACTTTTATCAAAGCCATTATTTCCTCGAGGATTTTCTGGAAAATATCCTGACACTAATATTGATTACAATTTAATAAATCAAGCCAATTCAAAGGCAGTCGATGTAATGAAACAAGTTATGAAAGAGAATCCGAAGAAACGAAAAACTATGGCCGATTCTATGAAGAAGCAAAAGCCGATGAAGAAGAAAAAAATAAAAGTATAGAATTACAAATGTATACATGTATAATGTACAAAGGATTAATAAAAAAAAAAAAAATAAAAAAATTAGGAACATCGACAACACTTATTTGTCATTTTCATATAAATAGGTGATAAAAGAAAATGATGAATAATTTTCATTGATGTTATTTTTAGCTTTGATCATCATTCATGAATTATACAAAAATCTGATTTCTTTCTTTTCTTTTTTTATCTTCCTTTTTTTGTAATTACATCGATTACGATTTGTAAATAATAATTTTATAATATGTAATGCGCGCCGCTTGTTTATTTTTTTAAAGGTAGCTATTCTTACAGTTAATACATATGGTAAAATATTATTTACAACAAATTATATCAGACATGTTTTGTATTAAACTTAACGTTTAAAGAAAAATTCCTCCTCTCTTTCTTTCTTTTTTCTTTCTTTTTTTTTTTTACGCAAATATGATACAAATTGTAATATGAAATAACTAAGAAACAAAAAATAGAGTACGACGATGATCGGTGCGATATCGATCAAGAAAAGCACAGCCCATCTAAATATTTTCTAAACGACACACAACTTTCCTTCTCTGATATATAATTTTCATTTCACAGAGAACAATTAATTAATTATCACTTTCAAAATATTGTATTGTAAATAACATCATCTTCTGTGCTAATAATTGAATCTATTTGATCATTAATTATTATCGAATTGATATATCTTTCTTTACGAATTGGATTGTTATGTTCTTCCACCAATGGTTGATGATCATTACCCTTAACGATAATTTTAATACTAGCCATTACATGACTTCCAGGACAGTTTTGTATCTGTACGGTAGTATTATTGTCACATATCTCAGCATAAATCTCATCAGTTTTAGGTTTTGTTGGTTGTGGAATCGGTGGTAGAGGGGTTAAACTATCACGAACGCGAGAATAATTCGGTTGTAGTTCAACATTCGTTGGTGGAACCTCTAATACACTCGTTGAAACCGATCTTTGTACAGGTTGTTTTGTATTAGAATCATTACGACTCTGTCTAGAGGTAGTTTCCGGTTCCAAACTGGAGTAACGTTCCTGAGTTGATTTCATAGCAACCTCGGGTCTAACTGCAAACGTAAATGACGCCGATTTTTTAGCAGGATTCCTGTTACGACCACCACCACCACCAACTTGTGCAAGTTTAGAGATCCTTTCTAGAAAACCATTTCCAGAATTTTGCCTGGTCCTGCTTCTTTCCCTGACGGTTGTCTTCTTAAGTTGTTCCAAACCGTCCCTCAAACTTTGAAGTATCGGTCTAGTTTCCTGTTTAGGTTTGATCTTCTTCAAATGCATCTCTTTTAAATTCTCCGTGCTTGGATGTAATTTCAATGGTGCCACTCGTGGTTCCGTTGCACGATCTCCGACTGCTCGGCTAAAGTGGAAGAACCAGTTAAGCTACCAACGATGCACTCTCTTTGTACATGCATTTGCGAACGCTTTGCATCTTTCGAATGCATAACGTTCGTCCTCACGTCCATATACGTACGTGACATCGACGTATATGTCGCATTAATATCAACCAGACTTTTGCATTTATGCTAAAGAATTTTGTCACGTATACCACCCCAGCCAAACCCCATCATCGTTTATCTTATTAGATACAAACAGAAATACCTATGCTAAATCTGAATAATTTGTTGAATGGTAATTAATGATTTTTTTTTTTTTTTATTCACCTGCAAGCTGCAAGAAGTCTTTGCATTTTAGGTGATGCCAACAATCTTGCCTCTGACGGATATCCCAAACGTGCTCTTCTCACTCTAGGTGCACCATTACCTGACACTACCAATTCTAACATTTCTGGATTATGTACTGGCCTTTCTGGAACTATACATCCTAAAACAATTGAACCACGGGTTGATGATTCTAATTGCATCAGACCACCGTATTCTCTTGGTAATGGAACCGGTAGTGGACCTGCTATCAGTCGTACCTACAAAAATAAGGTACAAATACATTTTCTTCTCCAATTTGAACAAACAAACAGATAAGTAATTGTAATTGGAGCTTGGTGATTAAATAAGTAATTGAATAATTTGATAATTATACGTTGGGTAGGGTTAAGAGTAGGGTAAACTTACTCTCAATGGTAATGGCCTCCTTGCAAGATGATGAACCTTATAAAGTACTGCATCACTTCCCGTATCTGTACTTCCGTTTTGACAAATTGCATAAAATTCACCCCTAGCTGAGAGTGGTGCAAATACTTCTCGTCCATGTGGATCCAAACATTGGGCGTATTGATCTCTCTCAGAAGATCCACCAGAGATTCCAAAACTAACCGAACTACATTTTCTTGTATCTTGAAAAACGGCTATCAATCGTAGTATCTCACCTGCTCTTATCGTTGTTTTCGTATAGTGAGCACGAAGATTTCCATTTTCTATATTGAAATAAAAGACATGTTTGAAAAGGAACATTTGTTAATTTAAGAGAACGAAAAAATGCAAAACAAAAATTTACCCATTTTCGAATGCGTAAGTGTGTATGCTCTCAATGGGGCAGCCAATAGGAATGCTGGTACACCTGCTCGTACCAAAGATTCAACCCTTCTGTAAACTCTTGCGCTACCAGTTGTATTATTGCCGGATATCACAGAAAACCATCCTATAAAAAAGAAAATAAAACAAAACAAGAAAGAAAAATAATAAAATTAATAATTAATATTTAAATAAATTAAATTAATTTATATTAATAAATAAAAAAATAATAATAAATAAAATATATAATATAAAAATAAAAGAAATAATATTTTGTAAAAACCTCCATAAATAAACAATTTGAGTATGAGTCCTATGTATCCACAAGTCGGTACAGTTGAAAAAAAATAAATAAAAAAGGAAGATTCGAAAAGACACACACAGACACACACACACATACAAAGTAGTCTCTTCTCGAATTGGTTGGTCGGCTGATCGAAGGTCGGCCGGTTTTTTTGGTCGTTGTTAATTGATTTAAGAATGTCGACTTGATGGTCGAATGCACGTACGCACGCACGCATGCATGCACGTGTGCACACGTGCGTGCATGCGTGCGTGCGTGCCCTTCGTTCTCAACCTAGTCTTTAAGAAACACACGGTTCTCCTCATCCTCTTTTATTCCCAATCCTAAAACTTTTTTCTATTTTTTTTTTCGCATACCACATACCACTTTTTTAAAAAAACGAAAACCAACCCTTCATTTCTTCTATTCTTGTATCGAACATATTTTAAGGGCTAAAATAGAACAAATACATATAAAATGATTGAACATGTTTATGTGTGTGTGCGTGTTTGTTTGTAAAAATTAAAAACAAGAGACAAGAGTTACATTTGAGAAAGAAAATTTCCGTTCCCACGGAATTTTTGATGACACTGATAACATTTTTTAAAATGAATAGTATGATCTTACAAAGAATGAAAGGACGGAATCGGTCCGGAAAAAGAAAATGTGTTGTAAGGGAATAAATAAGTAATCATCCCTTGCACAACACTTACGCGGCCTTCCTTTACTTTCCATTTCTATGCAAGTGAATCCTCCGACAGACATAGTTAACGCGATTGTTTAAAAGCACCTTTTTTTTTTTTCTGCTCGTAATTACCAAGATCTTAAGTAGCATCCGCTTGGAAAGAAAGAAAGAAAGAAAAAATAAATAAATAAATAATTAACACGGAAAAATAAACTTTAATTTAAGATCGTGCTTAAGTGAAAACGTTGCAATAACATTATTTGCATTTTTAATATTTATTTATTTAATATATAATCTAATCTCTAATCTCTCCAAAAGTAGTATTCTTTACCAATTGTTTTGAAATTTTGACAACAACAACAATAACAACAACAACAACGTTGCATTCGCATGCAGCTAGCTTTTTATTACATTAATTTATTAATAAATTAATTAATTCATTCAAAAACAAAAGAAAAAGATATTATTAAGCCCAACGCCATCTCTTGGTCATAGATTTCTCGTTGAATGCGCTAAAAATTTCAACATAACCTAACATTTATCTATACTACCAACCTCATATTTTGACTCTAATGAATCACAGTAACTTGTGACAGAGCACAGCTACGAGTAGTATACATATATATGTATATTATTCATCAGATAGGTTGAAACATTTAAAAAATACATTACAAAATGTAATCATTCCCCATAGTTTAATAATACATGTGAAGTTTTACGTTGAAATAGTAATATGGGGAAATAACGTAAGTACACACGAAGGAGTTTACCCATCCGCTACTCATTCGCATAATTTCTCTGTATCCGGTTCCGAAGAGAGTTATAGCTACGTCATAATGACTGTTATTTAAAATCAAGACCTCACGACGGGGACACGGACGAACTGAGTCGTCTTGGGAGGGAAAGACGAGAAATGGACGGAAGGGGTCGAAGGGGACACGAGGAGACAGGTTGAGGATTCCGTCTGGCACACGACGACGTTCTAGTTGAGCATAAAACCGTCCTAACAGAAAAGGCTGGGTGGGAGGAGGGGTAAATACTATTAACAGTGAAATAATAACGATATATCGAATGAGGACATAAAACAAGATGGGGCGAGGAAGGGAGGGAGAGAGGGAGGGGGGAAACTACTATGGGGATTTTACGAATGGGGGAATCTTCTTTAAGTACGTATAAACCTCTTTTCCCCTTCTTACCCCCTAACTACCAACCCCTCCACCATTGAATGTTAGTGCTGATAAAGTTAAGAAGTCATTAGAACGTGTAATTTATTAAGAAAAATGCAAATTAACATATTACGCGTGTGTACATGTACGTTCTTTGAAATGAAATGAAATGAAATAAAAGGACAAGGTAAGACAAGGGAAAAGGGAATGGTGAAAAGATATGGGGTTTTACCAGTTTTCAAGAGTATGTGACTGCAAAAGATAAAACGAATACGATATTTGTAAATAAATGTGTACCTTTTATATATATATATATATTTTTTTTAGCATACAAGGGTTATGTTGGTCGGATGATACTTTAAGAATGAAATAGTACTTGCTCGGTGTGTCTCTGTGTGTATATTTTACTAAGTAGAAATGATTGGGTTGTTTGCAACATTTATTTTTTACTTCTACAAAATCGTTAAACGTCAACTTTTTCAAACGGATATACATATTCATTTTAAATATGGAAAGGTTGTTGGTAAAGAAAAAAAAAAAAAGAACAAGTATATCCTACTTATAATAATAAAAATGAATAGAATAAATTTCTAAAGGGTGTTAGAGGGAATAAGATAAATAATCTTGGTCTGGTCACACGCAAAGAAAGAGATGATTTTACATGGCTGTATAAATTACTTTAAACTGGAGCCCCTATAAGTCGTTTGCAGAAAAGGATTTTTTCAAGAATGGTGTGGGTTTATAAACGAGGAGAGATCATCATCCGGTGATTTGTGAGATATCGTTCATCCTAACACTATCGTTCCAAGTAATCGGAATATTTTCAACCATTCCACTATCTTTCCTAAGTAATTTTATCCTGTTTTAAAAGGTTCAATTTCCTTTTACTTAGATGATACGATATTTATTCTATGTTTATCATTTTAAATACACACAAATTTCTCAAATATCTCATAATTTTATTATACTAACACACCTATTAAATATTCACATTGTATATAACGTGTTTAAATACTTAGTTTTACTATACTTTCAATTATTCAACATACAAAATATTGGCTCTGTAAATTACTAAAATGAAAGAAACTTTTGGGATAACTTAAAATATTGGGTTGCCAATTAAGTAATTGCTAATTTTGTAAAGCCACCTATCTACAAAATCTGCAATTACTTAGTTGCCAATCCAATATAATACATATACATATATTTATATATTATATTTATATTATATATATATACTAGCTGTGCCCTGACATGCGTAACTGTGGCTCATATCTAATAAGAAGACAACCTGTATTAATATACATCTTTATATTCAATTTCTTAACCCTTCTTAACCCTTTAGGGTTAACCTTTATATTGCATTTAATAATACACTTAATATTACTTTTAAATTGATTCATCATAATTAGATATCTCTAGTTAATCACATTTAACCTAAAAAACATTTCTAGCATACCAATAATCAACGACCAGATATTATCTCGAAATAAATTTGGTAAAGGGTTTTTATAGGGTTCTTTTTTTTTTCTGCGCTAGAGATACGCATCAAACAGGAAGGATTCTCGTAAGAGCGGTTAACTTCAAAGGATCTGCCCAAAGGGGTTTCTTTTTTTTTTTATTCTGTTTGCGTGAAATGTGTAGTTTATATATATGTATATAACGTGCCCTTTCGGGCCCTTCCCCCTCATTCTTACAAAATGGAAGGTATGTAGGAAGTTTTTAGTTCTGGGACCCGCATAACCCGGAATTTGTCTTTTCAAAGCCCTCAGTTGTTCGGATTGGGACTAGTCTGATATCCAGGAAATTGGGCCCCTGGTATGTCTTTTGAAATTTTTAATAAAAAAGAAAAGAAAAAAGAAATGTAGGAAGGTTTCAAAGGGTCCAAAGAATACTCAAAATACCAAGAGTGTTGGGAACGGTTCGAAACATATCTCTTACACCATCTTATTTTGATTTTTCTTTTATAAAAAGTTCAATCATTTTCTTTTTTTTTTTATGTATAAATATCTGAAAAAATGAAATTTGAATTATTTTGTTTGATTTTTTTGCAACTTAGTTTATAGGATTTTTTTTATTTAGATTAATCTAAAAGTTTCTTGGTTTTGTAAATTTTCGCTAGATGGTGCTGTATTACAATTCAATTATTTCACGTGTTTTTTTTTTCAGAGTCACATATGACACAACTAACCTTACTTTTGATATTTTTTTCGTTTATTACAATATCAAATTTTACTAAACGCGAATTTAATTCACGTGCATTCTTTAAAATATCAATCGAATTAGTTGTCGTGACGAAAGTTAAATCGACCTAGTCCAAATGAAAGCCGCATGATTGCAACGCTAGTTTAAATTCCAACGATGACGCAGAAGGGAAACTGGTCGTTCGTTGTTCTATTTGTTGTATTTGTTCAATCGGTTTAGTCAGAAATCCCGCATTTGGAACGCACAACTGGACTTACTTCAGAAAGACCACCTGAGAATTTGCACTTTTGATCTTTTCATCGTTCAATTCAAACACGTTCTTCTAAATTAATCAACTTAATGAACATTATTTATTCAAAAAATATTAAAAAAGAAGAAGAAGAAGAAGAAGAAGTTAATAAAAAAAAAAAAAAAAAAAATAGTTTCATATAACAACGACTATTCTTTTGATGAACTTTAACGAGTGCTACGGTCATACACTAAAAGTTTTCCTATACACATGTGCATAATATATATATTTATATATAACATTGATACGTGGGCACACAAGGTAAAGAAATAAAAAAAAAAATAATTTCTCTTTGTGTCCTGGATTCATCGTGAATAATGTTCCCTTTCCATCCGCGTGTCCGCGAATTCATTCGTGGGCGTTAAATAAACGCATTTCCTTACTGCAATTTACTGTTACTACTCTCTCGCGATCTAGCTACATATATACTATATACCCCTATTACATATAAAATATACCATACATAAGCTTGGGTTACGTGTCCATGTGTATATGTGTGTGTCCAATGTATTGCGAGTACAAATTTATGATCGAGTTGTAAAGTTTGCAGCAGTTGTGCAGTCACACCATCAACCCAAGCACGTTGTTGTTACACAATTTGCCTGGCTTGGATCAATTGCATTCAAGAAAACGACGAGATTATCAATTTCACACGTTCCTACGTTTACATTCTTTTCTTTTGTGTGTGTGTGTGTGTGTGTGTGTCAAATTCATCAATTCTAAATACATTCAATGATTGTTTTGAATTAACCCAGTCCAGTTCGTCAAAGTGTTGTCACCGTACGAAAGCACAAGTACGCGCGAATGCCGGATATATTCGGCTCTCGTAGGCACAAGTTATCACACAGATGCCGGATATATACGGCGTAGGGTGTTAAATGAACTATTTAATATATGAAATGTATTATTATGTAAACTATGTAATAACTAACCTGGATAACCCTCAGGTATGACAATTTCTGGTCCAACTTTGACATCGTGACGGTATCGATGTATTAATAATGTTGCAGTTACTCTAAGTGATCTCTGTTGTTGTTTGTAAAGTAATACAGGCCTGCCAGTTGTACCTTCAAGTCTGACAACTCTTGGTAATGAAAATCTATCTAAAAATTCTCGAAGTGGCATATAACCACCAGCACTACCACCACCACCACTCGAACCAGAACTACCCTCGGCAGTAGCTTCGCGTGAACTTGGCAAACTTTTCGGTAACGAGGGCATTTCCTCGCTCGACATTGTCGAGAACTCACCGTTCGACGACATACTTTTTACTTTATACATATACATATGTATTAAAAATATTCTATTTCTTGATTTGTTTAAAATCCTATCGTTGAGAAAACAAAATAACCAAAAAATACAAAAAACAAAAATATATAATTTTGTGTTTCTTTAACCTCCTTTTTTAAATTTTATTTTATTTTATTATTTTCCTAGGATAATAAAAAACACTTTTTTGTTTTTTCTTCTTCTTCTTCTTCTTCTTCTTTTTCTCACCACTTTTTTTTTCCTCTTCCTTTTTTTCTTCTTCAATTTTTGTCTGTATATTTCTATCGTAAGAAAAATCGATGATAAACTCGTGGAAGATCGTAATAGAATTGACAAACGAGAATAATAATAATAATAATAATAATAATATGTGAATGAATAATAAAAAATAGCATGGTGCCCGATCTCTCGGGCGATGTGTCATTTGATTTTTTTACAGGTCGTATGACCGTACCGTCGTTCCCTGTCTTTAAAAGCATTTCGAATCTCAGCACCTTCACGCCGGTTCATTACCACCACCTTGACAGGAGCGCGGTTGCGCGTTTACCGGTTAATAACAGGTTCGGTTCTCTCTTCTCTTTCTCTCTCTTCCTTTCTTTCTTTCTTTCTTTCTTTCTCTTTATACACCTTTCTCTCTTTCTCTCTCTCTCTTTCTATTTCTCTGCTACTTTCTTCGATTATGTCACTCGACTTCTTCTTCTTCTTCTTCTTCTTCTTCTTACACTGCTGCCCATTCACTATCACTTTCCAACGTGTTCTATGGTTTTTTTTTATTCCCCCTACCCCCACCCTTATCTTCTTTTTTTTATTTTTATCTAATATATGATATATATATTATTATGTAGTAATTTATTAATTTTCTTCTTTGATGTTGATGATTAAAATTAAATGAAACAAATATATATATATTTTTGTTCTATCTTTATTTAATATATAATATATAATATTTATATATATATATGTGTGTGTGTGTATATATATATAATTGTTATATATTATATATTAGTCATTGATTAATGTTGTTTAATCTTCGATGTTTTTGAGATAAGGAAAAATAAAATAAAAATGCATTTTGGTTGTTGTTCACTTTATGCTATAAACTGTTACAAAGTATGCAACAGTGCTTAGTGAAATCTAGGTTCTTATGATTTTAGTATTCGTAGCATGTAACATACGTTTGCTATAAGAGAATTTGGCACGTGTTCTAGATAATTCTTTTTTCCTTTTTTTTTTTTTTATTTGAAATTCCAATAAGGAAGAAGAACACACACTATCTGAATGTAGGAGGAGGGCCCCACGTATTTTTCTAAGTTTTACTTAAAGTAAACGTAATTATATTATATTAATTACAAACACTTCTTCTACTTATTATATGAAACAATAATAGTTAATACTATTTTACATCCTTTTCTATTATTATTATTCAATAAAGTATTATTTATAATAATTTGGCACGTTATAAATAATTCCTTCGTGATTGTTTATATTCTACATTTATTTTCTCATAAACAATGAAGAATAACACACTCGTCGTTTGGTGATGCACTTTTTTGTTTTTTATTATTATTATTTATTTTATTTATTTTATTAATCTTTTTTTTTTCTGTTGGTGTTTAATCGATCATCGAGATCGTCAAGAATTGAAGATTCTTTTCTTATATTTTCTCTTTATCTATTTTTTCTTTCACATTAGTATTATTATCTTTTTTTTTTTATCTATACTTCTCCTAACATAATTTTATTTTATTTAAATTTCTTTGTTTTTTTTCTTTTGTTTTTTTTTTCTTTCATTTGCACGTCAAGGGTTGGTTTATATTCCGTGGTTTTAGATTTCCGTCGAGTTTAAACGATCTACCACCATTGGTACACCTCAAACGTGATTTCTCTCACGTGCTACGTAAGATACATATCCCTTTTTTCCCTTCTTCCTATTCTCGTTCTTACAATTTTATCTTTATACGTTTGTCTTCTTCTCTCGTAGGCCATCAGGGGAGAAGGAAAGGGAAAAGAAGGATTGGTGTATGTTGTTGGTTAACCCTTTAGAATATCTCTGATATTTCCCCCTTAATTTTATTCTTACATTTCGAAGCAAATGATCAATGTAACACGAATATAAAATAAATGAGTTTTGTTATCTAAAATTTGATCTAATTAAATCTTTTTTTTTATATTTATAAATCCAATGAATATAATGATCTATTCATTTTATTTAAAAAAAAAAAAAAAAAAAAAAATACAATAATAAACAAACACGAACACAAAATAAAATAAAATAAAATAAAATAAAATAAATAAAAATTACCAACTAGATCTGTAATAATAAAAATAATATGACGATGATGATAAAATATTTGCACTTATTATTAAAAAATATTCTTCAACATTCATCTTTACAATCTTTTCTAATCTTTTTCAATAATAATAATTATTATTAAACAATATTTAAATGTATAAAAAATATTATACTATTATTTATTTTTTGTTAATAACATATTATTCAAACCTCATTGAAAATTTGATTTAATGAACTTATGTACGAAACAACGATACAGAAGAAATCAAAGAAGAAGATAAAGTAGAAGAAGGTGAAGAGGAAGAAGGTGAAAAAGGTGATGAAGAAGAAGAAGAAGATGAGAAGAAGGAACCTTTTTCGCGTACTTGAGAATTCAAGAGAGAAGATCCGATCGGAACGGCGGACGCGAAGTCACTGACGCCTTGCACAAAGTGAACCAACCGTAAGAGGTCTGCTGACACCACGACATAGAAAGAAGAATCACGTAGGCAGTTAATATATGTATTAGTTCATATCCCTGTATATATATATATATATGTATGTGTAAGCACGTATACCTCGTAGGTCTACAACTACACCACCTGAGTATATACACGTGCATGTATATAGATGTGTAAGTATATATATCTCATAGGTTCTACAAACTACACAACCCATCATCACCACCACCAATACCACTATAAACCATTACTACTACTACATAACCACCATTACTACTATTAGGCCACTACTACGTGGACTACACTAATACAATACTACATCACRTCAACCATTACTACTACTACATAACCACTACCATCAACTGCTACCACCACCACTACTGGTACACCATAACCAGTACTATGGGTACTCTACCACCTCCACCTTCACCTCCTCTTTTACCATCTCACACGTCACACTATACTACTACTACTACTACTACTACTATCATACTCAGACTGTACTCAAGCGGAGAACAGTCCTTTGGCAAACTTTGCTTCAAGTCGTCTTCCTCCTCTTTCTTCTCTTCCTTCTCCTAGTAGTAGTTTCTCTACTCTAGTTGGTTGTTGTTGTGTTGTCGTTGTTACTCAACAGAATACGTTGTACTATTATACCACACGTTCAACCTCACGCGCCCAGACGTGGGTTTATTCAATAGAAGGATACCTTCTTCCATTATGTTCGAGAAGCTGTTACCCGCAGAAGCGAACCGCCCTTAATAGTTCCTCTATATATATATATATATGTATTATATATATATATATAATATAATATCCTCTTGGAACGTAATCGACCGGAATGGAACTTCCTACGAACGTACGCGTGTCTATTTTATTTGTATTTTATTTTAATTTTTTTAATTATATTACTACTTTTTGTGAAAAATTCTTTATATTTTAACTACCCTCAACCCCCTTTTTAATTTTTATTTTATTTTTTTATTAAAGAATGTATCATTTGATCTCGTTACTGTATTACAAATAATTGTTTTATCAATGTTGTTTAATTATATATTATATAATACTGTTTACATATATATATATATATATATATAATTTATTAAATTATTTATTTCATTCAAGGTTTGATTATACTTTGTATTATTTAGATATATTGTTTGGCGCCACGTTTTGATATATGTAATTTTTTTATTTTTTATTATATATATATATATATATATACATATATGTGTATGTGCATACATCATATACTTCTATGGATAATTTATGTAAATATAAACTGTAAGATTTGATTGCTTAATCGATATAATGCAATATCAAGTTGTAGTATTAGCAAACTAACGTTCAGTTGTGTTCAATGAACGATGAAAAATAAATATTGACTAACAATAAGTTAAATCAATGAAACAAACAGGACATTGTGTAAGAAAAATGATTATTTAAACACAGATCAATGCACTAATGAACTACTCGTTAGTTTCAATTAAAAAACATTGCTCAATTAAAATTCATTCATTCATTTTCATGAATATATATATAAGTAAATTGTCAAACTTTATTCTAATTAAATTTGAATTTCATTATCTCAAAGCTGTAAGAGACATTTGTTTAATGATTCTTCTTTTCATTTACACTAATCATACTTATTTTATTTTAACCATATATATATATATAAAACTAAGGTTTGATATTTTATTCAAAGTACAATTTTCATTTCATATATATGATATTACGTTAAGAAAATAATCGTATCGTATATTTTTCTTCAACTATTTTAATTCGATGAGAATATATCGACTAGTTCAGGCACTTTAATGTTTAAGAAAAAGAAACAAAATAAAACCAAAAAAAAAAGTAAAAAATAGTTAAATACTTAACGAAGTTAAAGTTACGAGAACGAGAAAGGTAATAATACTTGCAAATACATGAGAATACTTTTTCAAAACGATATACCGCAAAAGT